TGAATGTACTTGGCTGGGCGCTTCCACGGATTTGCTGGCTCTGGTGCCGTGTACTCCTCATCATCGATTGTTCGAAATGATGGGGTAGCCACCTTTGTTACGGAAAGATGGATTAGGCACACCCACGTGGGTTATAGGTAATATGATTGATGAGGGATAAAGGCTTTAATTAAAGTATAGAGAGGGATGCCTACCTCTTGGGGTTTTATTGGAGCGGCATCATCGTTGGCGTTGCATTCCTCTATTGCGGCCTCGATGTCTTCAGGCTCGAGAATTGGTTTGGCATTCCGCGGACGTCGCTTTGGTGTGCCTCCGCCCAACTCGGGAGTCGAAGGCGCTTCCAACGAGGGGCTGTTGCCGAGATTCTGAGCATCACCGCCCAAGTAAACGGCTAGCTTCTGGTTAATGTCGATCGGACGAGGTCGGAAACTGGTACTCCGACCAAGCATTGCTTGAAATGTGCCCTAATGGGGGCTAATTTGGCCTCAATTGTTTCTATCGCCCCTACTTCTTATCCTCTCGAATCAATTCGTTGGCGGGAAGCCAGAAGGTGAAAGCAACGTTCGCGGTCCAAGACCGAAGACCGCCAACCAATGCCATAAAAGCAAATATTTGTCGACTAATGGCCGTACCCAGTACTCTCGGTGGCGTGGCGGATGAAGAGGGACCTTTCTTGTTTACTGGAACAATACCATGCTGTTGACATTGGTTTGGGCAGGAGGCTTGAACTCGCCTTCGTGTGCGTGCGCTTTTGAGATCCTCAGCGGCTCCAGAGGCCTGCCAACAACCGAAACGTACACAAGCATGTTGAGGCGAGGCCCACATACACGCACATATACACACCGAACGAGGATTGCCACTGTGCGTCAAGGCCGTTAGACTCGTACCTGTCGCTTGAATCCGTTGCCACATTTCCCATTCGTTTCACGACCTGCATGCCGTTCAGCACGCGGCCGAAGATTGTGTGCTTACCATCGAGCCTGTTGTTGAGCAAAAGAGAGAATGGCGAGTCAGGCAATCACCTCACTTGAAAAGCTCCAGAAACTAAGCGCATGGAGCACAAAGGAGTGATCGATCACACAATGCAGCATCGCAGCAAGACGTACCACGGACACGGAGCCAAAGTGATGAAAAACTGGCTTCCGTTGGTGTTCTTCCCAGAGTTGGCCATCGACAGAATGCCGGCTCCGGTGTGTTTCAACTCCCTCGTGATCTCCTCCTCGAACTTGCCCCTGCGCAGAGGCAGAGCGGAGCGAAGGAGCGTGGGCAGGTAAATACATTAAAAATTACAAAAGAAGAAGAAGAGAAAAGGCAGGGAGTTCTCTTGCGTACCCATAGATGGACTCGCCGCCCCTTCCTGTGCCGGTGGGATCTCCTCCTTGGCACATAAAATCCTGATAAAGAGGGGGTAAGATTCAGGCAACTGGTGGGCAACGCGATTTGGTGCGCACTTTGATTATGCGGTGGAAGATGGTATTGTCGTAGTAGCCACGCTTGGCAAGCTCGTAGAAGTTGTGGCACGCCTTCGGCGCGTGGTTCCAGTACAGCTCCAAGGTGACATCGCCGATCGAGGTCTGAATCGTCACTGCCTTCGCCATTCTGATCTCGATTCCAAAGAAGCAATCAAAGAAAAGATAATCTTTTCTTTGTTTGCTTCCCGCCCCAAATTCCGCACGTGCCACGTCCGCAGGCGGGTGCCTGGTAGCGCATGTGCCCTTTGCCGACTCTGGTTGGTACAGTCCTTGATTCAATCGATCGAGGCCATTCGTGGACCGGCGCCTCTTTGGATCCATTTGGCCAAGATGATGCAGGAGACCAAGATCTACATCCCTTCCAATCTGGGAGGGCTGGAGGCGGCCCGCAGCTACCAGCTCGAGGTGGAGGAGGTGTTCGAGAATCTCCACACGACCGAGCAGGGCCTGTCGAGCCAGGATGCCTTCGCGCGAGCGCAGAAGAATGGGAGGAACGTGCTCGAACATCCCGAGGAGGAATCGCTGCTGATGAAGTTCATTGGCCAGTTCAAGGAGCCTCTTATCGTGCTCCTACTCTGCTCAGCGCTCATCTCCCTCCTTCTGGGAGAGCTCGCTGACGCCATCGGCATCTTCCTCGCGGTGCTGATCGTCAATCTTGTTGGCTTCATTCAAGAGTATAAGTCAGAGAAGAGCGTGGAGGCCCTCAAATCCCTCGTCGCACATCGGTGTCACGTCGTGCGAGACGGCAAGGCCCAACAGATCGATGCCGAGGATCTCGTCGCAGGCGACGTCGTGCTGCTCGAGGTGGGCGACCGAGTACCCGCTGATCTGCGACTCTCCGACGCTATCAGCCTTCAGATCGACGAGTCTATCCTCACCGGCGAGCCCGAGCCGTCGCACAAGTTCCACATGAAGATTGACTCGGACGTCGGCCAGGTGGCCGTCGCTGACCGCAAGAACATGGCCCACATGGGTACGAGCGTCGTCAACGGCCGCGGCAAGGGCGTCGTGGTGGCCACCGGCACCGATACCGAGCTGGGCCACATCTGGGAGATGGTCACCTCCATGGCCGAGCAGCGCACGCCGCTTCAAGAGAAGATGGACCAGCTGGGCAAGCAGCTCTCGCTTCTCGCCTTTGGCATCGTCGGCACCATCTTCCTCCTGGGCGCGCTGCAGGGCAAGCCACTGCTGCAGATGTTCACCATCGGCGTGAGTCTCGCCGTGGCCGCCATCCCCGAGGGTCTCCCCATCGTGGTCACTGTCACCCTGGCCCTGGGCGTCACGCGCATGGCCAAGCGCCACGCCATCGTACGCAAGCTGCCCGCCGTGGAGGCCCTCGGCGCCACCACCGTGATCTGCAGCGACAAAACCGGTACCGCTTCCGAGTTCCAACGACTTTAGCATTCGCTCTCACCCTTTCGAGGCCTCGTGTGACCAACGCTTACGATCGTATCTGGCCTTTCCTTGGTACACGTGTAGGCACGCTGACGAAGAACGAGATGACCGTCCGCTCCATCTTCACCACGGACTTGATCGAGGTGACTGGCGACGGCTATGGCGTACGCGGCGACTTCTTCCGCAGGGGCATCAAGCTCGAGCCCAAGGAGGACCCTCACCTGCAAGAGCTTCTCAAGACCGCTCTTCTCTGCAACAACGCACAGATCTCGGCCACCGAGGGAAGGTACGGACGAGAAAAGCCCCTATTTCCCACCGCCTCGTAGTCTCGCAGTAGAGCTAATACCACTTGATCGCCACTGCCCGGTACAGAGTGCTCGGACAGCCCACCGAGGCCGCGCTGTTGGTCGCTGCTGCCAAGGGCGGCGTCGAAGACCTCCGCCACCACTTCGCGCGCCTGGGAGAGGTTCCCTTCTCGCCGACCACCAAGTGGATGTCGGTCCAGTACGAAACCGGCCAGCAGCAGCCGGTCTACCACGTCAAGGGCGCCGTCGACCGAATTCTGGAGCGGTACATGCTGCATCAACGCCTTCGTTTCTCATTAGCCAACCACCCACCGTACTAATATTATCAATCGTGCGCGCCGGCGACGCACAGATGCAACACGACCTGCAACGACCGTGGCGCAATTATCGATCTCTCGTCGCAGAAGAGGAAGATCATTCTCGAGGCTGCCGAGGAGATGGGCAACCGCGCCATGCGCGTGATCGCCCTCGCCAGCGGAACGAATCTGGGTGCCCTCACTTTCTTGGGCGTCGTCGGCATCGTGGATCCTCCCCGAGAGGAAGGTCAGCCAAGCCTCTCTTGTCCTTCGCACCTCTTCTCCACTACGCGCGTCCCCCGTTGGTGTTATTTCTCATCTCCCCGACTTCTGTTACAGCCAAGGAGGCGATCGCCGAAGTGCGCAGAGGCGGCGTCAAGGTGGTGATGATCACCGGTGATGCGAAGGAGACGGCGATCGCGATCGCCAGGGAGCTCGACATCTTCGACGGGGGCAGCGTGGCCCTTTCCTACAACGACGTCCAGGAGATGTCCGAGGAGCAGCTCGCCGCGCAGATTGACGACGTCACCGTGTTCTACCGGATGGCGCCCGAGCACAAGATGAAGATCATTGAAGCCTACAAGAAGCGTGGGTACGTACCGTGCTTCACTCGCGTACACGAGCGCTTCTTGGTACTGACCTTTTTGTGCACCGTGGTGCCATCACACTACGCCACAGTCACATTGTGGCCATGACCGGCGATGGTGTCAACGATGCGCCCGCGCTCAAGTTGGCCGACATAGGTGTGGCCATGGGACGCACCGGCACGGATGTGAGCAAGGAGGCATCGGAGATGATCCTCGTCGACGACAACTTCGCCACGATCGTCGCGGCCATTGAGGTATTTGCACCTCCACCCTCCTCCGTCTCCCTGCATAATCAGTGTTGAGGGTGCCCAGCCTTCTCTTCTATGCGGCGCTCATTCGAACATGGCATGCTCACAGGAGGGCAAGTCGATCTACAACAACATCAAGAACTTCCTCCGGTTCCAGCTGACGACCAGCATTGCCACGCTTTCCATGGTGGCGTCGTCCACCCTGTTCGGCCTTCCCCTGCCCCTGACTCCCATCCAGATCCTGTGGATCAACATCATCATGGACGGTCCTCCTGCCCAGAGCTTGGGTACCGTGCCCTCCCCCCCATCAGCAGCGTGGTGTGAAGGCCGGTGTGGTGCTGATGACGCCGAGCTTACTCGTTCGAACGCCAGGTGTGGAGCCGCTCGACAAGGACGTTATGAAGAAGCCTCCGCGTGATCCGCGCAAGCCCGTCTTCCCTCCCATCATGCTTCTCGCCATTGTGGTCAGCGCCGTGTTGATGGTCGTCGGCACGCTCGCTGTGTTCTACACGTTCCTCGAGGTGCGTCGCACATGCCACACACACACACACACACACACACACACACACACACACACGAACACGCAGTCATTCTCACCTCGATGGACCTTTGGTGCGTGCAGGAGGGTAGGGAGACACGCGCCGTACGATGTGTTTCACCACGTTCGTCCTCTTCCAGATGATCAACGCCTTCAACTGCCGTTCCGAGGACAAGAGTATCTTCAAGATGGGGCTCAGCAACAACAAGTTTTTCTCCCTGGCCGTTGGCGGCTCCCTCCTCTTGCAGGTACCAGCTCCATCCTCCGTTCCCCGGTCCTCACCGCTTTCATCTCACCTCTCGTCCGCCGTGTGTCGTTGTTCGTGTGTGTCGTGTCGTGTGTGGGTCGTGTGTCGTCGTGTGTCGTGTCACTTAGTTGGCGGCCATCTACGTGCCGATCCTGCAAGGCCTGTTCGACACGGAGAGCCTGTCGCTGAACGACCTGTTCGTGTGCCTGCTGACGGCGTCGAGTGTGCTCGTGCTGGACGAGGCCAGGAAGTACTGGATGGCCCGGGGCAGGCTCAACAACCCCGGCACCGCCGTGCACGATCCGTTCGGCCTCTTTGGCACCGGCGGCAAGGTCAGCCTCGGCTAGAAAAGACACCAACGTTGGTGGGTACCGAAGAGAAGCGACAAAGAAGGATACAAAGAAGAAGAAGAAGGGCTGTATCCGTTTTTAGCTGCCGCGGAGAAGTACAGCAAGCATGCAAACGTGTTGCGTGTGTCATGCGGCGAAGTTCCAGGGCAGACGAAGATCGCCGTAGTCGTCGATGCCAAAGCGATCCGACCCGATGATCGAGAGCCTACACCAGATGATGATGTGTGCCAAGCAGCTGGCGTCAGCTCACGAAGGCAAAAAGGAGCCCGGGCGGGCGGGAGGGGTTGGCACGTGCCGCTGCATGAGTGGCGCCAGGTCGTTGGCGTGCTTGCGGAGGGTGAAGCAGAACTCTGTCATGTCCTCTCGTGATATGCTGTCGTCCTGGACTAGGTCCAGCAAGCGCAGCCGCCGCTTCGTCAATATTCTGCACCATCACCAGTCGAAGAAGGAACGTCCATGAGAAAGTGTGAACGATCAGTGCAGGTCGCAGCCCAACGTTGGGTGGCGTGCTAAAGCAGAGCCTAGAGACTGTGGACGCACCGTAGTTGCGTTTCTCGTTCGCGAAGCCCGGTGGTGAAGGAGTTCTGGTGGGCGACCTTTTCGCCCTCGCGCTTGATCCAGTCGACCAGCTGATGCGCTTGGGCGGTGGTCGGAATCGAGAGCAGCCCCACCGACGCATCCACCGATATCTTGCCGCCCAGCTTCTTGTCGCCCTTCACCTGATGATGCCACGACCATGTGAGCGCTACCACGCAAACACGAGCGGCCGCTGTTGCTGGTGTAGACACATCAACATACGATGAGGGAGATGTTGCTGTGCAGGCGCTCATTTTCATCCCACAACAGTCGTCGTTGTCCCGCCACCTGGAACCTGCCAGCCATCCGCTCCTGACTGTCGATGCACTCCTCCGCCTCGGCGTTCATCCTATTTTCGCCCATGGCGCAGCCGTGGTACGGTCGTTAGGCCCAAACTTTGCTCAGATTTGGGGGTCGTGGAGGTGGTCTTGAGGTGCAGCACCGGTACCGTACCTGTCCAAAAACTGTACATACTCCTCGACGTCCACGGTCGAGTGGTCGGCGCAGAGCAGCTTGAACCCAAACTTGTCGGCCAGCTCCGCCTCCTTGCGCTTCATCCGCTTGAGGTATCGCTGCCTGCGCCGGAGAGGAAGAAGACGTTTGACGTGTCCGGTGAGTCATCGGACATCGCCAGCACTGCTCGTGTGGTTCGCCTGTGACCAGCGCACCTGTCGTAGACCAGGTCCATGTCGACCGCGTTGAGCACCTTGTACCACACGTCTTGCGGATCCAGCGAATTGAGGAATATTCGCCCGAACACGTCATCGTACACGTTCACGCTCTTGCCTAATCGACCACGGTGAGTATTGATTGCTACACAGCACACACAGCACACACAAGCACACACCACACACCACACACCACACACCACACACACACACCACACCACAATGCAGCGTACTCTGTCCTGAGGAATTCTGCCCCATCGGCGCCGAGACTCCGGCGGAGAAGCATATGGTGCAGTTGCTCAGTTCTTTTCCCCGCCTATTGAGGTTTTCCACCACCTGTTTGGTTCCAAACGGGTGAGCAGCCGGACATGCGCAGTCACCTCGCACCGTGCGCGAGTACCTTGAGCAGGGACTGCAGCAGCTCCAGCTGTCGCCTCGGGTCGTTCATTTCCTGGCGGCCAAAGGTCACTCGCAGCCCACGCTGCATGGTCATCAGCAGGTACCTGACGCGCCACACCGCGCCACATCAGGGGAACGTTGAGAGTCAGCAGCCATCTCTCAGCCATCTCTGATGGCGATGATGATGGTGATGATGATGATGATGAGTCGTACGACTTACTTGTGCATGCCGACGTCTCGTTCGACCATCCGGAGGTCCTCCTGCTTCTTCATGGCGATGTTGTAGTACTTGGCCAGGAATTCTTTCACCTCGTGAATGCTCGGTATGCCCGAACCACTGCGCCCTAGATGTGGCATTCCTCGTTAAAAGAAACTTGTAATAATAATAATAATAAATAATAATAACAACAATTATTATTATTATTATTATTATTAAAAGGCGCGGCGTACTCTGTGGTTCGCTGTCGATGTCGCCGTCTTCGCCGGGCAGGAAGCCCGTGAAGTCGAACCCCTCGTCGTCGGATATGACCCCGCACTTGTGGAACAGCACCGACAGCTGCTGCCGCAGACTGTCCTCCTGCGTGTGCGTGCGTGCATGCAGACGCGTCGGCGAACGAGCGCTTTAGTCAGTCGTGATACGATCGCACACATACGACACACGCACAACACGACATGACCACGACACGAGAGCAAGCAGCAGCACCTTTCCCTTCTTGGAATGGTGGAGGGAGGCGTGGAGCACGGTGGCCACGCGAGTGAGTGGTACGATGTGGGGCGCCTTCTCCTTCTCGGCCAGCGAGGACCGCGGCAGGATGGTGTGCGCCTTCTCGCCCTCGCCGGGCGTGTCGTCGGCCGCCGCCGAGGGCAGCAGGTAGAAGGACAGGCTGTACGACGACGACGAGACGGAGGCAGTCGCTGCCTGGGCCGGCGAGTCGAT